TTTTTGTCCAAAATTTTCGTCACCCCCTATTCGAAAAACCAGCTGTTTTTTGAAAAATCAAAAAATGTTTTTCGTTTTTTCTCAGTTTCCACTTTCTCAAAAGCGCATCCCAAATTTCTCTTTCCTAGTTCATTCAATGTATTAATATTTTTGTTTTGTTTGAAAGAGCATCTCAAGGCACAGGGCATGATGAGGCCCTTTTTTTTTTAATTAAGCCTTTGTTTGGTCAATATACAGCCAGTTATATGATTTGGCTATCATTTTTTGACACTTTTTTCAGCCATTGAACTTGTGATCTCTTTTTTGCGCTTAAAAGAGGACTATTTGAAAAAAAAGACCCCATCATGCCCTGCATCTTGAGATGCTCTTTCCAACAACAAAAAAATATTAATATATTGAACGAACCAGGACCGAGAAATTTGGGATGCCAAATGAGTCATTTTTGACCCTTGTTTAGCTCATATCTCCCTGAAACCTGACGATTTCAGGCTGGAAATTTTATGGTAGTCTCCCCTTTCTAGTCTCAACATATCCTGAAAGTTTCATCTAATTTGGATGTTCCTGAGCTGAGATCGATTTTTGACGGGGGGCGGAGCCTTAATTTTCTGGAGATTCCATCGTTGATAATAAATTCTTTTTGAAAACATCTTTGATAATAGCTTCTTCGAACTACTATTAAATAGTATTTGCAATGTTTCAGTTAATTCGATTTTTTTTTCCAGAGAAGCTGATTTTGTTGGTATTAAAGAGTATTTTACAATTTTCTATTATAGTAAAAAAAAATTCTTCATCATAATCCAACAATTCTCTGAGATGAGATCAGCTTGACCTCAAAAGAATATGAAACAATTCTATCTTTGAAATATATGTCAATTAAATTGTTATTATTTTTCAAGAAGACCTTAAAATTGTTGTTGTTAACAAACCGTTTTTATACTAAAAAACAAAAATTTTTTTTCAGAAAGAATAAAATTAATGAAACATGATTCTTAGAATGACGCAGAACTATTTTCTAGTCATTAGAAGTATTTGAAACTTCAAATTACTCTAATATATTTAATTGAACCACTTCTCGGACAAACTTTCTCGAAGACATCTTATACTATCATTCAAAAAAAAAAAGACAATTTATTGTTCAATAATGACTCTTGACGGAGATAAAAAAAAAAGAAAAGAATCAAAATTAATGCAAAAAAATTTTGCACTCTCATTATATTCAACTTTTCCATTTTATATTACACAGATTAAAAAGAAAAAAACTTAAAGATCAACATGTGCCTATTGAATATGATTATTTATAAGATAGACTAAAACAGGAACAATCTTTTTCTAGTTGTCTTATTGTTTATTAATTCCATATTAGCGAGCTACGTATCCGGAGACTTACGAAAAGCTAAAATTCTGGACGGAAAGTAGTCAGATCCGCCCGAGTTTTTTTTTCCATTAATATATCTAGCACCCTCTGTGTATACACGACTAAAGATCAAGGTTTTAGTTATTTATTGATTACTGTCAAGAAAAAATCCAACCTACAATTATTTTCTCTTGTTTACTATCGCATCAGTCGATGCTTAAAGTTTTCGCTTGGTTAAAAAGAGCATTATGTTAGTCAAAATAAAAAGAATATTGAACGATTAATTGATACACAAAATTTAACAAATAAATACATAATAACATCAAAAGCTTTATCTATCTGGAATAGTATTCGTTGTGTTTATGTAAACGAGATCAAGCAAGAATATGTTCTATATAATTAATGTAGCGAAGCTACGGGTCCATGTTTTTTGTGGACCTGGACTCTCATCTTCCTAATTGTATGTTGTTGTCTATTTATATAAATGATTATCAATCGATAACATATATATATATTTATGTTCTTCCTAATAAGTCTCAATAAATAGCAAAAACCTATAGGTCACAATGTATCTCATTAGTTATTTTCAGTAATTTGACAATTGTATCTACATTATTGTGTTTACTGTCTTATTCTTTCGAACGTAAAATGTATGTTTCTAGTTGAAGCATAATTTTATTTTGAGAACATTTTTTGAAAGGGTATTCATCAAGCATGAAAATAGTCTTATTAGTTATAACAAGGTCTTCAATGTTATTGCATGGATGATGTACTGAATAAAACATGAGATATTATCAATGAGTGTCTAATATATATATATATATATATTATTCATAGATAATATTTTTCACGTAATCTTACATTAAATTATGATCCTTCTTTTTGATAAAAATTCTATAAAGTTAAACTTTTTTAATAACAACGGAGAAAAAAAAAATTTATGATTATCAAAAATAAAATATTTAATATAATTCTTATTCGATATAAAAATGATATCATATTTTTATTAATAGAGAAGAAAAAGATCGAAATGGTGAAGTTCAACAATTAATTGCACGTGCAGAATTTAATGCTCGTCAATATATGACAGCTCTTAATTTAACAGGTTTTACATCACAAGCCACATTAGTGAAGATAGTGCCATTATCTTCAACAACACAAATTTCATGATATTATGTTTTTCAAATTATATATATATATATTACTGTGCAATTTTAATTTAAAAAAAAGACTATTTTAGAGACACATTGTTGTGAATTATTATTACCTTTTTCTTCTTTTTTTTTTTTTCTTAGCTTAAATAATATATGTGAAAAAATTTATTTGTAATTTTTTGTTATTATATGTTGCATGTAATTAGATTAAATAAACAATTGTGATTTTGAAATTGAATATAAAAAATTATGCAGAACTCTTAGATATGATATCATCGTTATTGAGATGAAGACTCACAAACATAAGAGAGCATTCTTTTTTAATTTGTGCACTTCAATGAACTTCTATTTATTGAAAAGCATTCATCATATACGAGAGACGAACGGGGGGAGCGGGGAGATCATACAACCTATTCAGACTATCCTACAAAATTATCATTGTTAATAACCTTTTACTTTGATACACATAAAGACATTGACAAATTCTTGTTCTTCATTATAATTTCTTCAAGTAAAGATCAACTCAAACAAACATTGACCAAAAGAAGAAAAAAAAAACCTTCAATGTTATTTTAGCATTAGAAATAATATATGCACGTTGTAGTGATTAAATTGATTAGTATTATTTTTTTTGTTTTGTTATTCAATCGAATTTGTTTTCTAATCAAACGACGAAATCCCTTAACTATCTTACGAGTCATATTAACCATGTTATCATACGATGTAGATCATGATCAAATTGAAAAAATGTTTTCTTCCTTAACATTGTAATACCTCGATTGTTTTTTTTTGTTATATTATTGAGAATCAAGGGTGTAGCGAATGGTTCGTCTTCTCTTCTCACGACATCATATTGAGAATTTTTATTCTGACAACTTCGAGACATTCCGTGTTTGGAATGCTGATTAAAAAAAAAGAAGCACGTATTTAATTCTAAATCATTTTAAAACTTTCATAGCTAATACAGAATCAATAGAGGTAATTCTCTCGTGATAAAATATCATTAATATAAAAAAATAATCCTTTGGTTTTCTTGTTTCTTTTCTATTATTAACATGAAAGACTTGAACTAAATATAAGTTGGCCACTTTATTAAATGACTATTTATCAATTGCTGATAAAAATTCAACATTATTTTGCTTTTTTATTAATGCACGATCGATATTGACATTCATGTTTCGTATTATCAATCAACTTAGGAGAATTCAATCCTCTTAATAATATAATGTTTAAGAGAGATTAATCTATTCTTCTTAAAAAAGAAAAAGAAAAAATCTTCTATATATCTTGATTGATCCTAAAGTATTCAAAATGTTCTTGATGAAAACTATCTTGTTTTTTCTTCTTTTCTTTTTTTTATAAATAGAATAAGATGCAAACTAATCCTGTGTGTAACGTCGAACAAAAACGAAAACAAAAAAAAAACAAAAAAAAAGTAAAAGCAAAATGCTTTTTTTGTTTAACATAATACATTAATCAATGCATTTTTTTTTTGTTTTATGTTTTTCATTTTTTTAAAGAAAAACGCACCGATCGAACCGGACGTAGATCATATTTGTTTTAAATTATAAGTCTAACGAGAATAAAGGAGAAAATGAGCCAATACAAGACACAAAAAAAAAAAAATTACGGGACGACAAACGACGAGGAGTTAATAAAGAAGAAGAGAAAAAAAGAGAGAGAGAGAGCCGTGCAAGTTGTGTGACTCGGTTTACAGGCATTATGTATGTATGGGCACAATTATGAAGAAGACAAGAAAGAAAATGACAAGCATGTATACCAACACACATCTGACAGCAAAAAAAAAAAAGAAGAAATAGGAAAGATGGCACGCACAATGTAGTGGTCATGTGAACAATAATAACAACATCAAAAAAAGAAAAAAAAAAAAGAAGCAGCGAGAACAAACGGATCTAGTAATACAATTGGTATTCGTAATAGAACAGAAAAAAAAACAAGAACAAAAGAAAAAAACTGACAGCTAGAAACCGAGGTCTCCTTCAATGGCATTAACATCAAGATCAGTAGCTGCAGGATATTTATTAGAATTTAATGTACTACTTCGGGTCGTTATACCACTATTAGATCCTGATGATAATGTTTGACATTGAGATGAATATTGTTGTTTATGTGGTTCACCAGAGCCTGTACTAAATCCTGAATCATATGACATATTTGATTCTTCATAGTTAAATACATGACCGGGAGGAACATCAGTGAAGTCAACTGGAGAATGAGCTGGAGAATCATAATCACATCCGCTATCTTCATCATCAACTCCAATACAATCTTGATCAGTACGTCTTGTCATCTATTTAAAAAAAAAAAAAGAAATGAACGGAAATGAAATGACAATCAAAAATCTAGTGACTTGATTCTCTTTCTTTTCTTCTACATAACATTTGAACGTGCTAATTAGTAGGTTTTCAATTGTAATTAAAAGAAAGAAGAAAAAAAAAAAACAAAACAAAACAAAATGAAATCTAATACAATCAAATTATCTATTTATAGTTCTCTATTCAATTGTAATATAAATAGATGTAAACAGGTGCGACTGTCAATCATAGATTTGTACGTTATTCGTACAACATATATATACAACTCAATTTGTTTCTAAGAGTTGTTCGCTCGGTTGGAAAAAAGAAATAAGACATTTTATTTTTTTTCTTCATCATGATCATTTTTGGTTAACTGATTCTGACAAATTCTTTTATTACTTGCATTTACAAAATCATTTGTATAAATATGCATGACTTACCTTCTTTGGTGAATTGCCATCAAAGCTATATGTCGACTGAGTCTAAAAAAAAAAAGAATAAATAATAAAATATGATAAATGACTCGAATCAGTTACATTTCTTTTCCTGTCTCTCTCTCTCTCCTGGGCACTGATTCAATGAGACAGCAGGAAAAAAAACATGAAATGTCAGTGTATTATATTTATATACATATTATATAGATATATATATTATGTAATCTTTCTTGCAATTCATCATTATTCATTTTTAGTTACTTATCTATCGTATTCTTTTTTTTTTGCTTTATTATATGTCTTGTCAAATCTAAAAAGAGAACGACAACGAGTAGGAACATTAATGAGAATGCTCAACCATAATGAGTAGAAATATTGCTACTAATAACACTTTAGCTATATATATATATATACGTATTTGAGAACAAGAAATCTGTCAACCCTTTTACATATATATGTTTTATTATAGAGAAAATTTGAAAAACACAATTTATATGTTTTTTGTTATTGACAAATGAGCTGATGATGTATGTGTATATATAATCCAAATGAATATCGAGACAGCAACAAAGAAAGTTCACACAATCAATGATGAAGAGTACATTAGCACCTTTCAGTAACATGACAACAAACGAGAATGATGGAATAATACACACATACTGAGAATCTAATAATAATGTGTGATAGAGACATTTTGCGTGCTTCAATGAATAGAATCGATCACACATATATATATATATATATATTCATGTATATATAAAAGAGGAAAGTGGGTGGCTTGAGATGTAGAATATAAACAATTGTCGTCGACAACGACGATAATGTTATGGAAGAAAGAAGAGATTCAAAAGAAAATGAAATAGTGTATTTATGTTCACCGTTTGATGAAGCTCTAAATTCCATCAATGTACTTCTAATTCTCTATAGTTTATATAATATACAAAATCTCGATTGTGTCGACCGAACATATATATATATATATAATGCTAAGTCTTGTATATATGAAGTATTTTCTTTTACCTGTTTCATTTTAAGTAAATCTAAATATGGTCGATGATCATCTTCACTTGCTTTACGTTTTCGAGTGGTACTCGAACGAGTTGAAATAGTTGTTGTTAATTTATTATTACTTTTAATTGATTCATCAGATATAAATGAATCAATTTTAACACCGGCTGATGCAGCTGCAGCACGAGTTAATGGTGGCACCGGTTTTTGTTGTATAATTGGTGTTTCTAATGAAAGTTTTTCTGTAAATGATGGTATTACTTCAATATTATTATTATTGTTTGTTGCATTTTTTAATTTAGTACGTGATCTTAAATTATATGGATTTTGTGTTGAATCTGATGATGGTGGACGTACAGCAACCGGTTTAATAACTTGTATACATTGTTCATTATTATTATTATTATTATTACTTATAGAGGATGATATATCTTTATTTAAATTAGATGTTGAACGTGTCATTTGACGACGAGGTGATGGAGTTTTTTTTATTGTTTCATTAAAATCATTTATTGTTGTTGTTGTTGAATTTCTTGTTGTTATTGAATGATGATGATTACTCATCTGAATAGAACCAAAAAGAAAAACAGTAAATTAAATAGATTAATTTTATATAATAGAAAAGAATTATCTATATTAAAGAAATTATTATTGTTACTGCTATTACTTCTGTAGTTGAGAGGAGTGAATGGTAATGGTAGAGAGAGAGAGAGAGAGAAAAGAAGAAAAAAAAAACGAGAGAATGAGAGAAAGCGCAAGGAAAAAAAAAAAAGAAAAAAAAAAAGATGCAGCAGATTTTCTATGTGTGTGTGTGTGCACATGCTGACGTTCCTATGTGTCTGCTGTGAGTTGCATTGACCTCGATATCAATTCTACAGAAGAATGTGAATATATAGATATATAAAGAGGTACAAATAGAAAAAAAAAAAAAAAGAAAGACAGAAAAAAATAATGATTACATATTTTGTTTTGCTTCTTCTTTAGTCATATGTACAGGTAAGAAACAAAAAATCTTTAGTAAATTCAAATATATTATTTCTTTCGAAAGATTTTCAGTTTAATCTCAAATTCTTCTTGATAATACAAACCTTTGTTATTGTTATCTGAGTATTATTTGTTGATATTGATCGTCGTAAATTCATTGAAAAAGAAAACCAGAGAAACAAGAAAGTACCCAAAAGAAAAAGATCGTTGTTGTTGTTGTTGTTGTTGTTTTTTTTTTCGAGGATAATGCGTAGTTGGATAGATGGATGAAAATAAGACAAAGTAAAGACGACGACGAAAAGGCCGATGTTACTTGTGTGCGTATGTGTGTGCGTGCGAGCACAAACAGAACAGCTGAGCGGTATGGTGGATAGATTGAGAAAGAAAAAGAACGAAAGAAAGAAAAGAATAAGAAGAAAAAAAAACCGAGAAGAATGTTATATTCGCTATGCAACGACAAATCTCTCTCTCTTAGTTTTTTTGCACCGAAAAGCAATGGTAGCCGCGGGCCGCTATTTGTCAATATACATATGGAACGAACGCGCTTGCTTAAATCAACGCATAGAGAAAGAGAGAGAATTGGCTTCGATTCAATATTTATTCATCGTTTATGTGCTTCCTATTTCGTATTTAACTACACGATTATTATGAGGTGCTCACACATGTACACACTTGAATACCTACTTGGGGTGCCTATTAAAGTAGATTATTATTTTCTTTTTCTTTCTTTTTCCTCTCAAATATGTATTTCGGTATTATTCATTCATCTCATTTATTTTCTATGTTCATATTTCATTATCATTAAACCTGCATATGAGAAAATATTTTCAAATAAAATATAAAAGAAAGGGATATTAGATCTATTTCTTATACATTCTAATTGAAATTTAATCATTCATTCAATCGTTCTTTACATCTTATTCTCGGCATTTTTTCTTTTTCTTTTCTTCTTGTTCTTCGCTTTATGGACTTGAAAATTAAAATAAATACTGAAACAAACAAAACAAAACAACAAAACAAACTAAAGTTCCTCTATTCTCACTTTCAATGTCATCGCCTGCCAAGGGCACCATAGGAAAGCTTATTATCACTATAGTTTGATCGGTACAAGCTGAATGCTACTGCTGTGGACTATCACTTTTCACCAGACAGAAAACGAGAAATAACATATAACATATACATATAGAGAGCCTAATTGATGGAACACAGCATGAGAGATAAACAGCAGTAATAATAACGACCATATACTGTACATAGACATACACACACACACACACAGACATACATATAGAAAAAGGAACAAACGATTAGACAAGTGAATGACTAGATCAAAAAAACAAATTTTTTTAATTAAATTTCATTGGCCATTCTGTTATTGTAATGGGTTCTCGAAAGTTTCCATTAAATAAAAGATCAATCCAATCTGAAAATGTTAATGTTTGATTTAATTGTTCATTATTATTATTGCATATTGACGAATAAGAAACAAAAAATTTTCGTCTTATATACAAAGCAAGAACAGTTGATGGAATAAATTGTATTGATTGTTTATATTGATTATCTTGAATATTATTTGAAAGTTCATTAAGCCATTCAATTGATTGTTGACGATAAAGAATAGAAAAAATCATATGAGACCTAAAACACAAAAAAAAAAAAGAAAAAAAAAATTTTCATTAATTCATGCAATGATAATCAAGTCATTAGAATAGTCTTGTTGCTTTTTTATAACAATAAATATTAATTCTATAAGTAGAAACGTAATCAGATTTTCTTTTCTTTTTTTTTTTTTTTTTATTAATATAGATCATACAAGAATTATTTTAGTTTGATTAGCGAGAAATATATGAAAAGACTTTTTATAGATTATACTAAAGAATGTTATTCAAATACTAATCAAACTTGATTTTGATTAAGATAAATTTTCTTTATAATTTCATCAATTCTATTGTGAATGTATGTCTCTTTGTGCATTCTTTTTTTAATGTTTGTCATGTGCATTAATTTGTACTATAGAAGAAAACTTAACAGCACTTATGATTTAACCTTGGGCAAGTTATTTTATATTTATTACGAAATGACATGCATATGTTGATATCGTTACTATTCTTAAAGTTAAACCACATTGCTCTAATAGAAAATTCCGATTTTCAAATTTTATATAATGTTAACCCCCCTCACTCCCCGGTTAAAATCCATAAGAACAATTGATCTAGCTGAAAGTACGTCCTAGGTTTCGGATTGTCGTCAAGATGTAATCAACGATGGATGCATGAATTGCACTTACTAGAGTATGTGGCATATGTTCTTCAATTCAGAACCCTTTAGGTAAAGTCATACGGATATTAGAAAACTTCTCGAAATCATTGGGGGGGGGGGGGGGCGACTAAAGCAATGAGTTCCAATCGAGATAGGAATTTAAAGATAGGATACGATAGATTTCAGGTTGTAGAAAACTCTATCGAAGTTTATTTAAGCGAGAACAAAATGAGAGGTTGTTGCATTTCATATGACCTTCGTTTTAAAAGCTATAAGCATCATAAAAAAAAATGCAATTGTTAGTAAAGTTCACTTTGTAATGCTTATAACTTTTTAAACGGAAGGTCATAGACATTGATTTTCTAAAAGTCTTAATAAAAGAAAATTCTATTAGCTATTAAAACCCTTATTTATAATTGAGCTAATTGTTTAACATTATAAGAAACAAAGTATATTGTTATTAAATTTTTCCTACATATGAAATATAATTTACATTGAAGTTTTTTTATAATCGATTTCAAAAGAAAAAATTCTTTGGTTGGAAAGTAATAACAGGTAAATTATTCTCGTTTTTTCTTTCTTTTTTTTTGTATCATGAATTTAATCTCTTCGTATGTAAATCTTAAGATAATAGATCCTATTTAAAACTTACGAAAACAATAATCTAACTTAAGTCGATAGGGATATATACATGCATTTGATTTAAGGATAAATACTCTATTATCATTATTTTCTCAATACATACTCTTTAATTGCATTAATTTTTCGAATAAAATGTTTAACACATGAATCATTTGGTGTTTCAGCAATAAGAAGTAATATAATAACATTTGATGCACTTGGATTTATATATCGTTGAATTAGAGATTCATTAAATTCATAGATTTTTGCTTGACTAATATTTAAATAGAATAAATATTAATTTCATAAAAATAAATCTTACTTTGTTTTATTTAATTTTTGTTGTGGATTAGAATTTCTATTATCTGATTCTACTTTTGAATAATACATATAAACAAATATTAATATTGTAAATATCCAAAATTGATATGTATAAAGATATCCTGACCTATTAAAAACAAAAATCATATAATCTACTTTAGAATATTTTCAGAAAACTTTGATAAAAATAAAACAAATAATCCTTGTCTAAAATAAATGTAAGATCTCAAATAAAATCATACATTTGTTATAACATTTTCTTTTCTATAGGTTCGAGTTCATTATACATGTTGAATTTGACTTCAATTAATCAAAAATTAATAACAAATGAAATTTTTGTGTACATAGTAAAGTCTATCTGCTTATGGCACTACTGAAAAAAGAATTTATAGAAAACACGTTAAGCTTTTTTTCATATCCCATATCCTGACCGCATATTTGTAACCGAATAGGGGGTAGGTCAGTCTTCTCTGGTTGAAAAGAATTTTATAGATATGATATTTAATTTTTTGATAAATACTTGTTAAGATCTGATAAAATCTTGTTCTTATCAAAATAATCAAATTGCGTTGTTTCAAGAAGTATTAGTTTTTTTTTTCTATTCGTCCACACTGTTTTACCCTTTTATCAAAGTATACTTGATTTTTTTTTTTCTAAAGGCACAATCAAAATAGGGTCACTTGAGCTAAACATATATCGTATTTATTTTAGTAAAGATCAAATGATGAAAAAAGTGATTGGTCTGTTGAAAACATTTCCTTGCGGGTTTGATAATTCAAGATTTGGATTAATGGATAAATTACTCGTTTTTTTTTTGTTTTCGTGCTATATATAAAAATATCACACAATCATGTTTGGAAAACTTTGTAAAAAACTGAATGCAGAAAAAAAAAGGAAATAAATTTATTTACAGATATCGAAGTAAACGATTTCGTTCAATCCAAATATTCCATTTATATTCAAATTGATCGATTATTCTTGTGAAAATATCCTTAAAAAAAGAAGAAAATAACTAATAAATTATTTATTTTGAATTTAATTTACGTGTTTTTTTTCATCAAAATTAATTAATTCTGGTAATTTATATTTTTTAGCATGTGACCAACCATTATTAATAAATAATTTTAAATTTTCTTCTATATGAATTATATTACGTTGAATTTCATTTAAAGTTTTTGTATCAAATTCAATATTTGTATTTTGTATTTCAATTATATTTGAAAATGATCGACGAGCAACAAGAATCTTTGAAAATAAATTATTTTTTTTTTTCTTGAAAACATTTTTTTTTTTTTGTTTACTTACAAGTAATTTTTTCTCATTCATATGATAATAGGATGAGATAATATCGTGAAATTTTACTTGTTGTGTAGATGATGCATCAAGATATGCTATATGACATTTATATTCTTCGAATAATTGTTTAGAAAAGTGAAGAAATGATAATCGATATTGAGTAAATAAATTTCGATCACCAATTATTAAAAAACAAGGTCTAGGAAAAATAAATAAATCAATACATATGATAATAGAAAGGGCAGGTCAAGGTGAATAACTTGTGAATGTAAAGAGATATTAAGAAATTATTTTTGTCAGCTCGGAGCACATAGAACAGTTTGTTTTCAACAGGCTTCTAGAGGGTTTTCAACTTGTAGTCGATAGAGAAAATCGTTCTCTTTTTTGAACTATGTACATCCGACCAGTGACGTATCCAGGATATTTCAGTATGCTGAATCTCGACTTCCGAGTGTGGGACCCAGATGAAACTCATGGAGAGTGATGCTGGGTCCAAATGATGAAATTTTATCAAAAAAAATTTGCACTCGGAGTTTGCGAAAAAAATTTGCACTTTCCTGATTCCCCTCTCCTAGGATTTTTTGCTGTTAGTAGCATCTTAATTTTTAGAATTTCATAGGAAGCTATACCGAATTTCATCGATAAATTTCAAATTTCGTCTAAAAATATGTAATCGTTCAAGAGTTATAACTT